TGTCAACCAGCAGGCGCCAACATGGGGTCATCATGAGGGCGCGCGGAGCCATTCGGTATGAACCGGACGGGTGCAATCGCGGGGTGCCACGTTGTTCCTTTGGAACATCTCGCCCAGCCCTCATACGGCTCGCATTTGGGCCATCCGAGCCCAGCTATTCCCAGGCAGCTCCAACTATAAATGCAAGGCACCTCTCACAAGGTAAAGGATCTGGAACCTCTGACTCCTAGCATTCTTCTTACCGAGGACTGGGTGTTTACTGGTGGCCTCACCTGTGCGCCTCAACATTGAACCTTTTACTTACTTTGTGCAGACACTAACTTGATTATTGGAGTCCTCACTTCGGGTCTTCACCCGAAGCCTCTGACACTTCTTTCCTTGCAAAGCAAACTCATAGGGCCCCCTTCAAACCCCTTCGGACCCCTCGTACGCCCAATCAAGCATCTAGACTTTGTCACCAACTCTCCTGAGATCATCCGCCTCAGCCCCTAGGCCTCAGTATCCTCAACGCCCAAGAAGGTAGTCTGCCTCGGCCTCCAGCCTCGGCTTTGGCATACCCCTACCGATCGTCTACACGCCCTCGGACTCGGCCCCCCTCACGGAGTACTCAGGGCCTCGAAGCCCTCGGTCAAGACCCAGATCTTAGGAGTAAAATTACTGTATTGCCCTCGGCCAATCCGAGCGACAACACTATCGTTTCAAGGTGGTTGCATTGAAATAGTGGGAACATGACCACTACAACGTTTATCAAAAAAAAAAAAACACTACAACAAATTGTCCCAACACTAAATAACCCATGCACAATGTTGCATCTCAATTTAGGGGTGCAATTAAGATTGAGCCGAATTAGCATTTTTCCTTGGATTAAGCCCATTCAAACCGTTAAAAAAGCCTAACAAAGCCTGTCCCAACTTGCACTCATATCAATTATAATTATTTGGATAAATTTCTTAAACTATCATTATGATTTAGCTAAGTAGCTAATTGACAAAGTATGCTTCTACTATTTGACTATTATCAAACGCCATTCATATTATTTTTGACAATTGACTAACTCTACCGTTAGTGTTAATATTTATTAATATTCCATCAAAATTCCTACACATCTAACGTATAAATTTTTTTAGAACCCAATTTTACTATTCATCCATGGGCCCTCTCCCTTCTTCTTCTTCTTCCTTTCAGTAGCAGCAATCCCCTGTTTAGAGTTAGAGAGGATATATGATCGACAGCTCACGAGACGATTTTACTGCTTAATAGTTAGAGGGCCTCTAGCTCGGACTCTGTTCCAACAATCGCCGGGTTGTCGCATGGTCAAATTCTGGCTCTGTTTTGTGAATCGAAACTTCCCTCACTCCCCTCTCTATTCTTGCCGTCATACCACTTGTTAGTCACTGAAAGCTTCCCTCTGTATAAATTATAGACGTCCATTCTTCTTCTTCGACGACAAAACTTCACCTGGTTATAGTAGTCCTCAGGTTATTGATCGGAGGTTTATTTGTTTATTTTTTACATGATAAATCTACTTGGTTGTGATTGTCTTTGACTATAGTGAAGATCAAATCCAATCGTCTCCTCTATTTACAAGATTAACTCCAAAATGAGTTCTACAAAGATATTAAAAAGGAAACTTTCAAGGGTTCTTTTAAATATACCCACTGTTATTTAGAACAAGCAGAAAATTAGGACCCCTTTCAGAAAAACCGATTTTCCCATCTGGGTTCTCGAGCTTTTGCACAGAGACGTGATATTTCAGTCTTCTCAGAGAGCTATTTGTTCTGTAAACAAAACCATCGGAGAGATCAGTCTCTGTAATAGGTTTTTCACGCCTTGTTTCACAAGAGGTACACCCTGGGGCCAATACCCCATTTCCTTCTGAAGTCACTCCAATATAGCTTCCAGCTGCGAAGCCTAGCTCCCTGAAGAGCTTTAAGGATTGCAATTAGATTAACTTCATAAAATGCAAATAAAAATAAAAACGTCTTCAGGTTGAGTAGCACAAACCATTTGACCCTGTGAAATGGTCTTAATGCATTAAAATAGAGGACCCATGGATTTCTGACTATTGGGACCCAGCAGTGTCGACATTAGAGGCAGGGTGACTGGACCTGGGCGGCGAAGACAATGGTTTTCAAAATTGGACCGGAAAAACCGGTAACTGGTCAGCCCCCAAGTTTGGTTTTATTAAAAATCGGAAATTTCTAAAAATTGTTGAAAAAGTCAAAAAACCACTGACCCGGGTGGTCGGACCGCTATACTGTTTGACCCGGGCAGTGGTTCGCGGGTTACCCTTTTTATTTTCAATGTTTTAAATTAAAAAAAAACAAAAAATAAAATACCTTCTCCCTAACCCAGTCGAATGTTTAGTCCCTTTAGCTTTAGGGTTTCCCGAGTTCCCTCCTCTCAACCCTCACACCCAACCGACCACCTGTGGCGGCCAATACCTCCGGCGTCCAACGGTGACATACACCGACTGATGGTGACCGACAACGGCGAACTTGTAAGTAGTGGGCAGCACTTTTAGCTAGTAGTAAGAGTTGGCGGGCCTTGCGGTGGCTAGCACTTGCAGCGGCGGATGGCTAGCTTGCCTGCAACCAAATTTGCAGCGGTGGTTGGCGAGTTTGCAACGACGGATGAGGGTTTTTAGTGACAGTAACAGTTGCAGCCACTTACAATGGCAATCACCTGTGACAATCAGTAAGGATCTTGGGTCCTCTAAGCAGCATTCTAGAGATGTATATGGAAGATTTTGACAACACCACACTCACCAATGTGCAAGGGGTGGCATCGATGATTAAGCACATAGATCAGGCTATGGTGGAGAGAAAGATAAGCGGCTCGATCATCTGCACTAAAACTGTGGCAACAGCCTTGGGTGGTTGTGCTCCTCATTCATACACCACTTCTAAGCACGCATTGGTGGGGCTGGTCTGATCAGCCTGTAGTGAGCTGGGGGCTCATGGCATCAGGGTCAACTGCATCTCCCCTTTCAAAGTCGCTACCCTATTGGCCTGCAACTTCAAGGTCACTGTGTTAAAGCCCGCCCAAATAGTAGAGGCTGCTCTGTTTCTTGCTTCAAACGAAATAGATGGAGGATTCATAGTGGTTAGCCATAGCTACTCCACCATCCAACGAGAGAGAGAGAGAGAGATAGATAGATAGATAGATAGAGAGAGAGAGAGAGAGAGAGAGAGAGAGAGATTTACTATTGAAGTTATTTTGTTTTTTTTTCTGTATTTTTTGAATTTTTTGTGTTTTTTTTTTTAAATTTTTCTATATTTTATTTTTATATTTTTATGTATTTTGCACTGTATTATTTTTTATTTAGATAGTTTTATTTTTTGTATTTTACTGTATTTTTTTCTATTTTTATTTAATTTTATACTATTTTTTATTATTTATAAATATATTTTTTATTTTTAATTTATTTATGATGTCACGGGTAGAACCGTTCAACCCGGACGGTTGAACCACTTAACCAAAAACAGGTCCCCTGATCGATTCTATTTTCGATTCATTTTTAAAAACCTTGGCGAAGACTAGATTGAGGAAGATGAAGAACTGGAGTGTCAGCATTAGAGGCAGGGTGATTGGACTTGGGCGGCGAAGACCAGACTGAGAAAGATGAAGAACGGGAGAAGCTTCTAATTTGACTTCAGGGCAAAACAGACATTTCAACCTTTCCATCAATATTTTAACGACAATGATAATTTTACAAAACAATGGGGATTGTGTTAAATAATAGGGAAATTTTCACTTTAGTACCTTGAACTTTGGGGGTAGTGTCAAGTTAGTAACCTAACTTTCAAGTGTGTCACTGTAGTACCTAAACTTTCAAAAAGTGTCAATTTGGTCCTTGCCACTAACCAACCTTCAATTATCTATTGAAAATGTCAAAACAACCCTTCAAAAGAAGACACTATTCATTGTCTTCTACCTTGAGATTGAATCGGTTGAAGTGTTTGAGACTTTAGACTAATGAAGTCATTGTCTTCTACCTTTAGATCTGAAACACATTCTTGTCTAGTTATTTCTCTACTTTTAGTTCTTGTTTCCTTCTATCATATTTCACGTTTTTTTCTCTCTTTTTCTTTGAAGATAACCGATTCAGTATCAAAGTAGAAGACAATGAATAGTGTCTTCTTTTTAAGGGTAGTTTTAACATTTTCAACAGATAACTGACGGTCATTAATGACAATGACCAACTTAACACTTTTTGAAAGCTTAGGAACTGTAGCGACATGTTTGAAAGTTTGGGTACTAACTTGACACTACCCCCAAAGTTCAAGATACTATAGTGGAATTTTCCCTAAATAACAATCAAACAGTAGGAGTATACTTAATCAATTAGTTAAGCCATAAGGCTTATGTTTGATTTGAAGGAAAATATAGGTAAAGGAAGAGAAAGGGAAACCTTTACAAACATTGTATAGGTTTTCCGTCTTTTCCTTTCCCTACCTTTTCTTCAAACCAAACATAACCTAAGGGTAGTTTAAGAAATTTACCCCAACTCTTTTACATCTTATCCCGTGGTCCATCCCTAGTAATTACCAAAGCACTCACCATTATCAAAACGCACAACTATTTTATCATTCATTTTTCTTCAAATTTTCAAAATGGTAACATTTTTGGTGGCTACTTATGACTGATGTATGCATTACATTCCTTTTCATGGTTTTTAAAAACGAACCGGTCAGGGGTCTGATTATCAGTTCAAATGGTCCGATCTGAACGGTCGTCCCATTCTAACAAAAAAATAAAAAAATTTAAAAAAATTGAAAAACAGTCAAAACCGTTCGAACGATTAACCGGCCGATTCAGCGGTTTGCTGACCAAAATCAACAGTTTTGAGGAAAAAAGCGATTTTGGGGTAAAACGTGACCGGTTCTCGGTTTTTCCGGTCCGATCCGGTCCGGTCCGGTTTTGAAAACTATGTTCCTTTTAGCTTTAAAGGGAGAGCCACGTTAATTGGTTCATACATTCATGTCGACGATCTCGACTCTGCTATAACAGTCACTGTTCGAAGAGAGGTCCTCGTACCGCTCGTATCTAACGTACGCCTCTCCTGCCACTAACACCGTTCTCATAAGCTTTTCTTATGTTTGTTGTTCGTTCGGAAGAGAAGCAAAAGAGTTATGCGAGATGGGGAGAGTAAGTTCAAATCTGTTACAACAGATCTAAAAAGTTTGAATGCCATAGCTGATAGCTCCCCCCACTTCTAGTGGTTGTGCATATCCGTAAGGTGGCTGCTGTGACGCTCCTGTGATTTAGCCAACCCGTCTGCATAGCATTGGAATTCCTCCGAACACTTTCCCGCTGTAATTGCTCTGTGAGTTTCAAATCATCAAATGTAAATGGAAGAGGCGCCATCAATAGAATGAGTAGCAGATACCCATTAACGCTCCTGTCAAGATTTTCCCAGAGATGTGGTAGCATTACTATTGGAAAACTAACATCCAATTTCTCCACCTTATTCTCTTCTCTTCTCCTTTCAGAAAACGGGATTCACTCAATCTATGAGTCACGTGCGAAAAGGCGCGAGCTTGCTCAACTCTTGCAATCTTTTGGTCCTAACGAGCCCCATCTCTACCACAAGAATGTTCATGCACAGATTATAGTTCTTGGCTTCCACTCCGATATTTTTCTAACCAATCTTCTCCTAAAGTCTTATTCGAAGTCTAGTTGTCTTCGGAGTGCACGTTTATTGTTTGATGCGATGCCTCAAAGAAACTTAATTACATGGTCTTCGCTGATTTCTATGTACACTCAACATTTTCGGGGTGAGGATGCTTTGACGCTGTTTTTGGAATTTCAAAAATATTCTTTAGAGAACCCGAATGAGTTCATTTTAGCTAGTGTTGTCTGTGCGTGCACGCAATTAAGAGCAGTTGCTCAAGCTACCCAAGTACATGGTTTTGCCATCAGATCGGGGTTTGATCAGGATGTTTATGTGGGTACCTCCTTAATTGATTTCTATTCAAAGAATGGGGACATGCAAGATGCGAGATTAGTTTTTGATGGTTTACCAATAAAGACTGCAGTCACTTGGACTGCAATTATTACAGGGTATTCTCAGAGTGGAAAGAGTGAGATTTCTCTTCAATTGTTTGACCAGATGAGAAAAACTGATGTTCTTCCTGATAGATATGTTCTCTCAAGCGTAATAAATGCTTGCTCATTGTTGGGTTTTCTTGGAGGAGGCAAGCAGATACATGCTTATGTGTTAAGGAATGGAATACAAACAGATACTTCGGTGATGAACACACTAATAGATTTCTATTTGAAGTGTCATATGGTGAAAAACGGAAAGAAACTATTTGACCTGATGATTGTTAAGAATGTTGTCACGTGGACGACCATGACTGCTGGTTACATGAAGAATTCATGTGATTTGGATGCTATGAAGTTGTTTTCAGAAATGACACACTTAGGGTTGAAACCGGATAGTTATGCCTGTACTAGCATTCTCACTTCCTGTGGTTCACTTGAGGCTTTGTCACAGGGGAAACAAGTGCATTCATATACTGTCAAAACCAACCTTGACTTTGATGAGTTTGTTTCAAACAGTTTGATTGACATGTATGCAAAATGCAATTCTTTGGCTGATGCAAGAAAAGCCTTTGATGATATGGATGAGCACAATGTGATCTCTTACAATGCAATGATTGAAGGGTATGCAAGACAGGAAAGATTATATGAAGCACTGGATCTTTTTCAGGGGATGAGACTTAGATCAGTTAATCCAAGCCTCTTGACTTGTGTTAGTCTTTTTGGGTTGTCAGCCTCATTATCCATCATTGACTTGAGCAAACAAATCCATGGTCTCATTGTAAAAGTTGGATTTTCCTTGGACCTTTATGCTGGTAGTGCTCTTGTGGATGTTTATTCAAAGTGCTTGTGTATTAAGGATGCAAGACTCGTGTTTGAGGAGATGAATGAAAGAGATACTGTAGTATGGAATGCCATGGTTTTAGGGTATACTCAGAATGGACAAGGAGAGGAAGCCCTCAAACTTTTCTTAGAAATGCAGTTTTCAAGAATAAAACCTGATGAATTTACCTTTGTTGGCCTTGTTACAGCTGCTAGTGACTTGGCAAGTTTAATACATGGCCAACAGTTCCATGACCACCTTATAAAGACTGGTCTAGATATGGATCCATATGTCTGCAATGCTCTTGTTGATATGTATGCAAAGTGTGGAAGCATTGAAGAGGCTCGTACAACATTTGATGGTTCATATCAAAAAGATGTTGCATGTTGGAATTCTATGATCTCAAGATATGCAGAGCATGGGCATGCTGAAGAAGCTCTTCGGATGTTTGAGTGTATGGAAGATGAAGGAATAGAACCCAACTATGTCACATTTGTTGGTGTGCTTTCAGCCTGTAGTCATGTAGGGCTTGTTGAAACAGGGCTCCTTCACTTTGACTCAATGACATCAAAGTTCGGAATAAAACCTGGGACAGAGCACTACGCATGTGTGGTTTCTCTTTTGGGCAGAGCAGGAAAACTGTGTGAGGCCAAGGAGTTCATTGATCAGATGCCAATTAAACCAGCAGCAATTGTATGGCGTAGCTTGCTCAGTGCCTGTAAAATAGCTTGCAATGTTGAAATGGGTAAATATGCTGCAGAGATGGCAATATCAAGTGATCCAAATGAAAGTGGATCCTATGTTCTACTTTCTAATATTTTTGCATCTAGAAGTATGTGGGATGATGTGGAGAAGGTGAGGAAGAGGATGGACTGCAAAGGGGTGGTGAAGGAACCAGGCCATAGTTGGATCCAAATAAATAGTAAGGTTCATGTGTTTATTGCAAGAGATAAAGCTCATAGCCAAGCTGGTTTGATTTATTCAATACTGGGCAGGTTGACCAAACAAATCAAAGAGGTTGGCTATATTCCTGATACCTCTACAATTTTGATGGATGATTAAGGAAAGTGATTTCCATGGTCCAACAGAAAAGCTGAAAATTTTGATTATTTGATTGTTATTCAAGACAAAGACAAGAGCATCAAGTTGGTTGGACTGAATTTGCTGCACAGCCTCAAGTCCAAGAGAAACCTCAACTGAAATTTTGATTGGTAATTAAGATGAAACCATCTCAGTTGATTCAAGTGAACATTTGTGGGATTCATGTTCTGACAGCCTAATCCGGTGCAATTACAACTGTCTTTTCTGAAAGAAGGCAAGGATACAACTTAATTCTTGCTTGTGGTGGTTGATGTATAAGAGCCTTGGGACTGAACAGTCTCTCATAAATAATGCAAAATATAGAAAATTTATAGCTGACATATCTAGCAATGCCAGCCACAGAACAAAGTAAAAACATCACCAATTATTTCCCTTTGAAGAGTTAGTCTGCCATTAGAGGAGAGGACCAAGAGATCATAAAATATTTTATGATTTACTTATCATCATCATCTAATTCTTGTCCCAAGACTCCCAACCATATGGGATCGGCTACATGTATCTTGTTCTGCCATTCCATTCTGTTCAATGCCATATCTTGTTAAATTATGGGGGCCCTGAAATCATTTCTCATTATTTCAACCTAGCCCTTATCAGTTCTGCAAACTACTTTGTAATCTCACTCTCTCTCTCTCTTGATATTCTTTGTTGATGAAGAACATGTAATAGGCGATTTTCTTGCTAAACATATTCTTCAATTGTCCAAGTGAAAAGATGAAAAATGCAAAGGATGCACATGGTACAAATCTAGTAGACCAGGTTTGCCTGGTCTACTATCAAAAAAGTAAGGAGAACTAAATAAGATGAAGAAGATATTTTTGGACTTCAAGACTTCCATTATGATCATATTTTCCATGGAAGCATTTGAGAAAATTTTTACCACTCTCTCAGCATACATGCATGTTGAACCTACTTCCTTGGAGGTTCTTATTACCAATCTCCTAAGAGAAGTTGGAGAGAATTCATGCTCTTGTTTCTTGCTTCTTTTCCAAAGGGATCAAATTTAAATTCTGATATTCAAAGAATGTTTCAAACTCCACACTCGAAGGACATGTGAATCCAGGGCCATTTTTTGGCTCCCAAGCTCATCTACAACGCTTAGCGTACATGAATTCCCTCCAAGCAGACTGGTTTGCAAAGTCAGTCTGATATAATCAATGATCCTTCAACCCATTATCTGGCTAAAATGTATAAATACCAGTTACAAGAGGTTATGCCAGAGATGAAGTTATGTATTTCCCTTCTTTAAATTTGGTCTTCATGAACAGTTTCAAGTTTACAATATGATCCCAATGACAGGCAATGGCTACACTAAAAAAGGAACTGGCTCGCCAACTATTGGTAGCGAGTCCATTGTTTTTGTTGTTGGTGTTATTCTTTATCTCTTCTGTTAGTGTGCTGTCAGCTTGTTCTTTTCTTCTTTTAATTAGATTATTATTAGAGTATGCTGCCAGGGGTATAAGTGTAATATTCTCTCTTTTGTTTTATGTTATGTTATTATACATGAGAAGCTGGGCGCTGCCAACAATACTAGAATCTAAAACTGTTTTCCCTCTCATCTTCTCTTCCCTTCTCTCTTCTCTTCTCTCCTCTCCTCTCTCTCCTCACTCTATTCTAGAAAGAGAACATGGTATCAGAGCCAGGTTCTGGGCAATAGGAGTCCTTTTTCTCCTCTGAATCACACTCATTCACCTAGTTTTCCGAATTTTTTGGACAAGTGAAGGCAAGAAACTCTAATCGGACTGTTTAGAACCACCTGTTTCTGATTCTTCTGGGTTCTTCCCTTGGTTGTAGCACCAAGGTAACCCTAGTAGGAAAGGGCTGATGCTGTGAAGGCTTGTTCTTTGGATTTGCACCTTCGAACAGGTGCTGTACAGGGGTGTGTGATTTCCTTTTCCACAAGTATGTGCTGTGATTGGTTAGCGTGTGTAGTGTGTAGCCCAATGGAGACTGATATTTAAATCCCTGGACTGTTTGATTGCTGCCAGTAAATTTCAGCAGTGTTTTATTTTCTTTCTGGACTGTTTGATTGTTCCTAGACTGCCTAGTTGTTGCTGTGGATTTCGGAAGTGATTGGTTTTGTGTTTAGTGCCCGAACTGAGACTGTAAGAGGTACTAGTTCAGTGGGAACTGGTTGTGTGCATTTGTAGATCGGGCTTGTTTTGTAGTTTGTGCTGCTCTCAATGGCAAATGATGATTCTGCCTCATCCGGAGTTACATCAACCCATGGTTCAACTGGTATGGGAGGTGAAAATATGATGTTTCCTATACCAATTACCCCTTTAAACAGCCTGAACTACTTGGAGTGGGCTAAGGGTGTAAAACTTTATGTAACATCAAGGGGAAAGGCTGGTTACATAAATGGAAGGGTGAAAGAACCCAAGAGTGGGACTGCTAAATATGGTAGGTGGGACCAAGAGAACAGTATGGTGATGTCTTGGCTTATTGCAGCCATGGAACGTGATGTGAAAAATTTTATGTGGGAAGATACTGCTAGTGAAATATGGGAACATGCCAAAACCACTTATTCTGAGCGAAGACACTATGCCTAGATTAACCAATTACAAGATGAATCCTCAACCTGTAAACAAGAGAACCGTAGTTTGTCAGCCTATTACTCAGCCCTTACTTCAATATGGATGGAGTTGGACCACTATCAGGCTATAGAATGTAAACATGATGATGATGCTAAAGCCTATAAGAAGTTGGTTTCTTAGCAGCGAGTTTTTGCCTTCTTGTTGGGACTAAACCTCGTATATGAACCTCTTAGAGTTCAGATTTTAGGCAGTAAAGAGTTGCCTTCAGTTCAAGAGGTGTATACCCTTTTTCAATCTGAGGAAAGTAGGCGGAATGTGATGGTTACAACTGAGGGGGAGCAATAGGTGGCATTAGCTGCAATGGGTGGTAACAATATGAGAAAGAAGAGTAACTCCAAGAAGGTTGATGATAAGGACAAGTTGTTTTGTTCCCATTGCCAACGTTCAAGACATACACATGACACATGGTGGGAGATTCATGAGAGGCCAAAGTGGGTTGTAAAGAACCAAGAACAGGGTAAAGTGCAGGGTCAGAAGAAGCCTAATACAACACATAATGCAACAAATGTGGCAACCCAAGATACTCAGTTTGCCGGTACTGTCCGGGACCACTTCATTGGTTTTAACCCCAAGGAAGATATCATGAACTCCTTCAATAATCATTTGGAATCATATGGTAAGGCCTTGCATTAGATGGACACTTTAGTTACTAGTACTTCTACTTCATTTGTGTCTACATCAGGTAATGTGGCCTCTACCTTCCATGTCACCACTACCACTATTTCCCCTTGGATCATTGACTCAGGGGCCTCTAACCACATGACCGGTAAGCCAAATGTTTTTCAAACTTATAGCCTTTTGTTAGGAAGGGATAAAGTGAGGCTTGTAGATGGATCATTTTCCTCCATTGCAGGTTAGGGATCAGCATCCCTTCCTCATGGACTTAACTTGAATAATGTGTTGCATGTCCCTCAACTTCCCATCAATTTGCTTTCCATTAGTAGTATCACAAGCTCTTTAAACTGCAACATACCTTTTTTTCCTGATTCATGTGTTTTTTCAGGGTCTAACCTCTAGGAGGACAATGTTAGACAGTTTTTGTATGCCCTTAGCTTCAATCAGAATGATGTACATTATGAGTTTATTGTAAATGAATAAAGTACATATTTGATTCATGTTCCTTTGGTGTGTTTCTGTGTAATACCCTTAAACTGGACACTAAATGAGACTCGTGTTAGT